TTCATTTTCTGGTTGTCATACTCTTATTAAGTTACAATTTTCATCTTCTCAAGCAGAACATTAATGTCATCTTGTGCTTCAGCAAGGTATCTCTGGCTAAAACTAGCTAACGTTAAAGTTAGTGAGATGCTAACAGTGTAGGTCAAAAACACATAAACGAAGGTCTACATTTCAGTGCCTCTCCATATTAAACTGGTTAAATGTAAATTAATTTAATCTTACCCTGAGGTACATGAACCCTGGATGTTGTCATCTGCGATCGTGTCGACCATAATGCCTCGTTCTCCCGCTTACATTGTGATCTGTAAACCCTCACTTCCAAATTAATCTTTTAATATTTTAAAATCTTTTATATATCCCTCTATGGCATATTTAAGTCCTACTTGAATGGTGGTCCTTCTGTGTCCAAAATTTATCAAAAACATCTTGGGACAAGGTTTTCACACTGACAGTTGTCAACTCTGCTTGTTTGTCCGAGTAAGCAACAGTAACTAAGGGGGGCGGGGGCTTACCGATAGTTCAATTGTGTCTTTAATGAAGATCAACCACATTTTATGGATAACTGATTCAGATTATGATTTTTATAGATGGCCTGTGGATATATAAAAAAGCTGGCTGATAAAATGACTCCTAGTCTGCAGAAGCTTGGCAGAAGAAGATTATTCCAGCATGATAGCAATGCAAAGCACACTGCCAAAATCGCACAAGATTTTGTAAAGAAATAAAGCAAAAACTATGGCCAAGTTGTCACCTCACTTTAATCCAATAGAACACATTGGGGATATCATAATAAGAAAAGGTATAGCAACACAACTCCTGCAGCAAAGAGAAAAAGAAAAACAATTCTCTCCAGAAATGTGTGCAACATTTTTGTTGCATCAAGTGACTTTGGGGCCTGTGTTTTTAATACAGTAAATCTAAACTATTAGTTGTTAATTTTACGTAAAAGCAAAAACTCCATGGTTCAAATTCTAAATAATGAGAGGTGATACAAACTCAAAATTATACAATTTTGAGTCATTTGACATTGAAGTGTTAAATATTTTTAAATATTTTTAGAACCCATGGCCAGTTGCTATTTGTGCTGTGTGACAGGCGGTTTTTAGGTTATGTAAGCAGGTCCTTACTCTCAGACTGCAGTGAAAAGCTCTATAATGCAGCTTAGTATAATCTAAGGCTGTCTGTAACACACCTGCATGGCTGTATATGTGTGCGCTGCCTCTTTCTGAGGCATTTATTTTCAACCGAAGGTTTACAAATGTAATCTAGGAGGTCTATGGACTGATATATAAAGTATATCAAAATTTCTTAATAACTGTAAAAATGTATCATTTTATTCTAATCTAATCGCTGTGGTGTAGATTAACTTTAAGCTGCATTGTGACAAAAATTATCACCTCCATGTAGTCTTTGAGAAAGTAAACTAATTCCATTTTATACAGAACTTCTGTTACAAAATTGTTACAACCCCAGTTGTAATATACCAGTCAAGCAATTCATTCATCATGGAGATGCCAAATACAGCACAGACACAACCAGCGCATCTAACTGAAGCAGCTCTCTCTCCAAAGAGCTCAAATGTAGCCTACTCTTGAAAACAAGCTCATAAATCTGAAGATAATATCTGAAATATGCTCCCAAAACTAAAAGGGGAGGATCTTTCTTACACATCCAGATAAACATTTGTACATAACAGCTCTAGGTACTGTTCAGTATGTGACAACAGCAGCATATAAAAATTCTGATCACTGCATTCTGAAGTTACCTTTCATAGATTTGTATTTCTCCATAGCTCTAATAACTAAAGAAAGGAGTTAAATCAACTCTTTCTCTCTCTACTTATTTTTGTAATTTACTTTTTTTTGTGAAAGCAATATTTAAATTTATATAATTCACACGCAACTCTCACACTTGTAAATAAATAAATAATGATTTAATTAATTAAATAATTCCATTAATTAGCTGTTGAAATATATTAGAACCCTTAGGTTAGTAGACCTAATCTAACAAGCTGATGGTATAGAATTATAAATATGAAGCAAATGTCTTCATTTATAATACACTATGACAAATACCTCAACTGAAACATTAAACAGAGAACAAATTATAAGCAGAAGACATCACTGTGGTTAGTTGAAGTGAAATTTGAAACATTCAAATATATTCTAGATTGCATTTTATGTGAAGGTATTATCTGAGATGAACAAATGTGCTTTATTGATCCCAGAGGAGAGGTTTAGTAAAGCTTTACAATGTAATAGTTACAATGCAATGCAACAGCCCCTAAGAACCTAACTCTTATCTTCAGAATTAGGAGTTTGGATCAATAACCACTAAACTAAAAGCCATGGTCATAGGAGTTTCGGTCTTGATCACTATTAACTATTATTCTATTATGTAAGTCTGGGTTTGGGCAATTAAGGCAGGACAAATCAACAGAGAAACAGTGCAACCTCGAAGACTTTAAGTATCAACACAAGGTGAATGCTGTGACACTTTAAATGTGCTTTGACAATGTAAAACGCTTTGAGTCTCTAAGAAAAGCTCTACATAAATATAGCAAATTATTAGGGGCCAAGCAGAAGTTCCATATAGGCACCTATTGTTATTGTAAGTGTTCTTCTTTTTCTGCTCTTCAGTCTATGGCAGCTTATAGAACTGTTCATAGGAAAGTTAGAAGCACATAGATAGAGGTAAGTCTGATCATTAACCATAACCTAAACATAGCAAGTGAGTGGAGTCTCTATCTCAAACCCTGTACTGACACCACTTATGTGTATGTTTCACTTACATATTATTGCTCTTTTGTCGGTTGGATTACTTCTATTGTCCTCATTTGTAAGTAGCTTTGGATTAAAAGCGACTGCTAAATGAAAATGTAAATGTTTATAAAAACAAAATTATTTTTTCCTCTGATTCACTGGCTCATGCCAAGTCAAATGTACCTTATGACGTCATTTTGCATATGACATTTTTTTTTTTAAATTCTTAAATTCAAACTTGTCCTAGTTTTTCTAATTTTCATGAAAATTGACTCAGGTCATCATCAGACCATGCTGCCAAAAATGTATCAAGAGCTTTTTGATAGACCAAACCATTCTAATTTAATGCTTTAACGAATTTGGCAAGCATACCAAAGTGGATGTGAGTATCTCCACAATGCTTTGGCATATTGAGCTGAAATTTGGTATACTTCATAGACTTCAAACCCGTGAGGAGTTTCAGCAGAACACTGAACAATGGAAGACTTATGAATAGTTTGACCAAAATCATGAGACAGTCTCTTTACATTCAGTATGGCATATCAAGTCAAACAATTTTCAATTTCAATTCAGTTCAATTTTCCCATGTAAAAAGGTTTTTTGTGTGTCTTTATCTTGATAGTCTTTGAATTTGTTGTCAAGGTTATTCTTGAGAAAACGTGACAAGCCTTTGGCAACAGCACTGTTTCTGCCATTCAAACATGATTTAAACACAGAAAGAACCTCAAATAGCTGCAAAGCAATCCTTTCTGTGACCTATTTTGTGGATTTTCCGATAACTTGAGCACTTTTGAGGAAAATTTAGAATCTGTGAATAATAATATCAATACTCCAGCAATGAAAAACACAACATGAATAAATTATGCAAATTAAAATGCTGTTTTTAAATACTGTTATGTTTTACTTTTCTTAGGCTTAACGTCACTGTGGTAATTTGCGACTGCTCATTTGTGAGATATGCTGTTGATTGTATTTTGTTAACTGAAAACAACTAATTTTTACGCGGCAGTAACCGTACTAAGACCGTTATGTATTTCTCCCCGCAAGATCATCCAGGCATGTTAAGGTTCCAGGCGACTGCCTGTATCACCTGTAGGATGGGTCGACCCTGTCCAGCAAAATTCAGTTTTCGACAGTCAGCCTTTTTGTCTGTCCACCAAGGTCCAAAACTATCCATTTGAAACTTCTAGACGGTTTGTGCAATCTTCACCAAATTTTACACAGATCATCATCACACCATGCTGGTAAAATGCTATTAAAAACTTGTTGATATCTCAAAGAGATAAAGTAATTGTCAAATTTGAAATCAAGGAGCTGCACAGTGTTTTATGGAATATCTTGACAACGCTACTGCCTATTGCACTGAAACTTAAAGTGTCAAATCATGACCGCACTCTGATGCACCCTGCCATGCTTTATTTTGTTTAGCTCATTTTGACTCTTTTGTGCTAGACAAACTGCATAAGGCAAACGAGATATGATGGTAATTTACACTACACTATAGTAATTATTATTACTGCTACCTTAATCTTCATTTTTATGGCAGTCTATATCGAAATATCTGAATACTTAGATTGAACATTCACTAAAACTTTGCCTCATAAAGGTCAAACAACTCTTTTCATGTATTTACTGCTTCTCATTCCAACTGCACTGAAATAAAAATATCATACTGTATTTGGCCATTTACTTATGTCTGTAAAAAGTAAATGCTTTCTTAGAACTAATGCACACTCCACTGACAGATGCTAACCAATACAAACAAGGACCAGATTACAGAACATCATAAATGCAGATTGAACATGTTCAGTCAGTGAAAACAAGCGCCCTTGGTAAGTTAAGTGTCTGTCAGTGCAGTGTAAATTAGCCTTTAGAGATGTGTTTTCCTAAGTAAATACCCAAGTCTGTGCTTTAAAGTGAACTGGACACACCTGTGAACACCTGTTTCACTAGGCACTGGTCTGATCTTTTGACTTTAACCAGTTCATTACATAATGCTCTGAAGTCCGTCTAAAAAAAAAGTAAGCATAATCATAGCAAATGAGGCAGTCATTAGGTTCACAGCAGTCTAACGTCATCTAAATAAGATGATTACACAACATATTATTATGACTATGAACTCAGCTTTACTAACAGTTGCAGCTTTGCTTACTGTTGAAATTGCAAATATACTTCCACTTTTGGTCTAAAAACAAGTTTAATAAAGTAGAGAGTGAACTAGCAAGGCAGAAACTGTACCTGCAGTGAGTTGCACAAACGTGAAGAGTAAAAGCACCGCTTCTGAGCACCTGAGATAAGACATGACATCTGTTACTGTCCGCGCATCAATACATCCACCTTTATAGACAAAATCATCACGACTCTATTCTGCTGCATTTCCACAGTGACTGCTCGCATTGCTCCACTCAAAATAAAACCCCAAAGCAACTACACACGTACAGAGAGACTTGCTCCGCCTCTTGTGGCTTAATGTAAGAGGATTACAGAGAGAGAGAGAGAGAGAGAGAGAGAGAGAGAGAGAAAAACTCAGACGCCATGACTGTGAAACACCAATAAACCTTGGTAAAGGAAATATAGAATGGCCATATTTATATTTATGGCTTTTAAGCGATAATATATGGACCCACTTTATATTAAGTGTCCTTAACTACTATGTACTTACATTTAAATTAATCAAGTCAAGTCACCTTTATTTATATAGCACTTTATACAATACAGATTGTGTCAAAGCAACTTTACAATGTTAAACAGGAAAAATGTGTGCTGATAATGCACGAGGACAATAGAAAACAGTCAGTTTATCAGTTAAAGTCAGTTCATTGTTCATTGTCACCGTCCAGCTCAGTTCAGTTCTCTTCAGATAGTGTCTGTGCAATCAAGTCAACAATGTTGCCAGAATAATTTGGTACATGTTGGGTACATGTTTTTAGATTGTACTTATATTTGAAAATACCATCCTGTAATTACATCTGTAATTAATTTCTGTATAATTACACTGTTGACCCTACCTCTACCCCTTAAGCCTAACCATATCACCAAACCTGTCCCTAACCTTACCTGTTTCCCATCCCAATAGCAGCAAAAGTGTTTTTCAACTCAACATGAACACAACAGGTACACTGAACCTATTTTATTATTAACTGGGCTAACAATGTTTAACTGGGTGCAAGCCTGTTTCACATTTTCCATGTATTTAAAAAAAAAAAAAAAGTGATAACCAACAAGTAACACTTGGAGCCTTTCTACAGCATGAAATATATTTATATACATGATTAATAACTACAAACATTCGGCACCAAACTAGTAACAACTTAATTTAGGCTAAATCTGTAACCCTCTTAACCATTCTTCCTCTTTTTATTTATTCATTGTTTTAAATAACTATTTCTATCAAATTCTATTAAATTATCTATAAATAAATATTCTAGGGTGGTCCAAGTATACATCAGTCTGTTTCTCATCTGTTGAATAATTACATGAATTATTTGATAAACAAAAACACTTTACAGATATCTGTTTCTTAAATTCAGGATCTTGTTGGTTTATTTAAGTTGTTTTTACTCGTTCAGCATCTGTATTTACAAACAATATGAAACTAACAAAAAACAAATACATAATGCTAAATGTGCAGTGATATACAAAGCTTCTCAGATTTAACACATTACACAACAGAAGGTGCATAAAGAGACTGAGGTGCAACCTTAAAACTCATAATTTGTTCATGACAGATTGACTGAGTAATGTTTACTGTATACTTACACTATAAATGACAATGATAAAGAGCCAGGATGAAAAAAAATGTCTCTTTTATTTGTAGAGTTGCAGTTGAATGTGGTGTAGCTGTATTATGAACTAGAACTGTCTGATTTGTAAGTTTGTAAGGTTACATTTTTTTTTAAGTAAATTGTAACACTAAAGCGGTTTATTCAAATGCCCAGCTGTTGTAATGTGACAGAACGAGATGCTTCAAAAATCCTGTGTGCTAAAAGAAATAACTCCCATATGAAAAGCAGTCTGCAGTCTTTTAAATGCCCGCTACAACATCTTTGGATGTCAAAATATGCCCCACTTTTTAAATTCAAAATAAATATGATGTGCCTCTATAAGAGCACTAATCCCAGACTATCTCTTTTTCCGGTTTGTTCTCCAGATGAGACATCCACTGGGCACGGTAAAAAGGCCTTTAATGTCTTCCATAAGGAAGTAGTTCATATGTCCGCTTTTATTTTGTCCAAAGAATTATAAATTTTTGTCAGAGTCTTTTTGATGCGTAAAGCTGTAAGTCTGGCTGATGGGTTCTGGTACCAGCATTCCTTCATGAGTTTAACGATTGATGTTAAAGTCTGAAAAATAAAAACAAAACAAGAGACTGAATCAAGCGAAGGAAGGGTTAAAAAAAAAACAAAGCAATGAAGGTAAATAGAGGTAAATAGAGGAAAATAGAAGAAAATAGAGATTTTGCTAAATAATATTTATACTGCAGTGATATATCCTTGTGGCCATTAGAGAGCAATCCTTTCTTCTTTACACGACATAACATGTTCATATAACAGATTCAAATGTGGTGTGAGCTTCAGCATTTCAGAATCTAAATTAGAATTTAGAGTAGGAACTAACAGTGTGACTATATGAATAATATAAATGTTTTTTATATATAATATTAGTTTTACTTTATAAATGTATTTGTTATATTTAAATTATGACACACATAAATTTGTTACAATGAATAATGTTGTTTTTGTGTCCAGTGCAATGATTTAAAAAAATTACATTAAATTAAATACCTTTCATGTGCAATGTATTTAATTAGATGACCCAATAATAACATTACTGCATGTTTATTAAATTAAACCCATTTTCACATTGAATTTCCAGCAAAATTTACTATTTTGTGTACATTTACCGAGACATAATATTTACTCATACCGTGATTCAACATGTCATACCACCTAGTGGTGGGAGAAAAAAATATATATTCTCCGAACCATCATGAATCTTTCTCCAGTGATTCTAAATCGACGCACAATAAATGCAGTATTGATTTAGTTTTATTGAATTTAGAACCACGATTATGTATGTGGTAAGGACAGCCATGTGAATTCCACCAAAACTCACTGACTGACAGACGGCTGCTTCAAATAGCCATGTGTGCGGGCCTCTGAAAGGCAGCTGTACTGTGAGAGCCATTAAGGGATTGTAAACAGGTGACATATGTTGTGTCAAAATAGCTCTATGTAGCTTTATGCAGCCTTTCACTTCACAAGACATTAATAAATGGATTGGAGTATTGTGGATTATTGTGATGTTTAAAACCAGCTGTCTGAGTTCATTCTGACGGCACCCATCCACTGCAGAGGGCCCACTGGTGAGTAAGTGGTGAAATGCTAAATTTCTCCAAATCTGTTCTGATGAAGAAACAAACTCATCTTCATCTCGGAGTAAATTTTCATTTTTGGGTGAATTGTTTATTTATTTATTTTTATTTTTTTATATGAGCACAGCCATTAGACCTACCACTGTTTATTTAAAATAATACATAAACGGCAATAATGGTGAGAAAAGAAGAAAAAAAACCTAACTGCTGTTGCCTAGAAACTTTTAGATCAGAGGTAGTCAACTATGGAGCTTGAGATCCACTTTCCTGCAGAGATTAGCTCCAACCTGGATTTAACACAACTACCTGAAACTTTGTAGTAATCCAGTGGCCTGTAGCACGAAGCCGGTTTCAGTTTTTACCCAGGTAAGTTTGCGTTTAGTTTGAGCAAACTCTGAGATTTCAAACCAAAGCTGGACCAATCAGCTCTGAGCAAAGTAACACATATCGTTACTTTGGAAGTCGTGGCCTAATGGTTAGAGAGTCGGACTCATAACCCAAAGGTTGTGGGTTCGAGTCTCGTACCGTCGGGGATTGTAGGTGGGGGGAGTGAATGTACAGCGCTCTCTCCCACCTTCAATACCACGACTGAGGTGCCCTTGAGCAAGGCACCGAACCCCCAACTGCTCCCCGGGCGCCGCAGCATAAATGGCTGCCCACTGCTCCGGGTGTGTGTTCACAGTGTGTGTGTGTAAATGCAGAGCACTAATTCCGAGTATGGGTCACCATACTTGGCCACATGTCACGTCACCTGTCATATCTGATGCAATAAAGCCTTTAAATTAATAGGCTATAACTATACAGATATAAATACAAGATTCAATATATAAAGCTTTTTAAACTGATGAAGCTTGTTTTCTTTTGAGCTCCTTGTAATATAAATTATTTAAATTCAGTTGATTTACTTGCATTGATATAGTCAAAAATTTGAATATATCAATGATATATTGATATATATCAAAATTTCACCATCCAGTTAGGCTCATCAACCATAACTCCTTCAAAAACAGCTAGAAACCTTGGAGTTGTGATTGATGATAAGCTGAATTTCTCAGACCACATTGCTAAAACT